AAATGAGTTAGAAAGAGAGGATATCAGTTTTCATATGTGAATATTCAGCAGCGGTAGAATGCTCGTTGACGCACTGCTTAACCTCGCTAAGCCGGTAATAAAACCGACAAAGAGTAAAAGTTAGGCATGAGGCTAGCAATTCCACACCGTAAAAGTAAAAACTATTGCTAACGAAACTTCAAATCTGTAGCTTGAAGCCCCATGTTCCATTGGGAACGTGAAGGAATAATATATATCAATATATATGAGCAGTCATAGAAGAGCATAGGAAAAGAAAAGCAAGAAACGATAGAAGAATGATTCACAAACGAATGTAAGAAGATTGAAGAAGGAATAGAAGAGAAAATCAGAACACAATAAGCTGAAGATGACAGCCGAATTTCCTAACAACATTATATTTTAATAGTCAATGCGTTGATAATGACATCATCATTGCAGTTCATTTTTCATTGATGTATGTAACATTTATTTAGTTCCCTTATTCGCTTTTCTTTTTCGTCAAACAAAGGACAAGAAAACAACAACAAAAACAATGACAGGGACAATCATTATGAGATAAGAAAAAAAAGAAAACAGTTGAGAATTTAAAAATGACTAGAGGAAAAACCGTATTTAGGTCACAGATGTTTTTATTCCTTTGCGTTCTCACTAGAATACAAAATTTCAAGCTTTGAGCTTTGAAATTTCAGTAGAAGTGGTGTGTCTAGCCGTATAGCCAACCCTCCATCTTTACGGAGCTTACTACTGTCGGTGGCACAGCAGCTATCATGCTCACCGACCAAACACATGGGCAGGAGTTCGATCCCCGGAAAACGCACATCTAAAATCAATGACCGGCTTGCTAAATTTGGGCTACCGACATCACATGCTGAAAATTCCATAGTTGTACCAAAATACTGTGTGGAATCAAGCTATAATAATTTAAAAAAACCGGCTAAGCGAGGTTTAGGAGTTAATCAGTCAGAAATCGAACCCTGGCCCACTTGTGGCGTGATTAGCAAGCCTTTTACAGCTGAACTACCGATGCAACTAATATTTTCCTCTGAAGATAATAAAAAAAAACAATTCCAGTTGTTTTGGTTCCTAGGGATTCTGATCGACTTTAGCGTAGATTTTATTGGAAGGTTAACTCAATCCCCTGTACGATTCTAGGTCAGTCCTTTTGAAGTATCCTATACAGCTATACAATGATCCCTTATTTTGAATAGTTCACTAAATGAATTAAGTTCGGGACAAAATCTACATAGAAAAATATTTTTTAAACATTAGAAATAGTCATTTGTAGGAACATGGTCTATGAACATGCCCATATATATATATATATATATATATCTTTTAATAGATAAGTTCACTTAAACGTACGTGTATAGTGTAGTTATCCTATAGACAAATTGCTTGGTTATAGTTACTAACATAATAGAGTCTTACAGTGCAATTATTTTGTTAGTTTCCGTTTTATAACTATTTTTACCCCTATATGAACGTCGGAAATCATTTAAAGTTGATATAACAAAAATTGATTGTCGGATAGTTAAAAGAAAACTGTCTGTAAATACCTATTATAAATAAAAGCACTTAACTGGTAACCAGAAACCTTCTTCAACGATAATTTTGTCAGTTTTCATAACCACATTAGCTAAGGAATAATTATTTTTAATCAAATTATTACGATTAAAACATCTGATGGCTTTGCATTAGACAGGTAGGTGTATTTTAGTAAATAGCTACTAAACCACAGTTCACTGATAATGGGCACAATATTATGTACACACGCATAGTTCAAATAAATCACCAGATATCTGAATAACTGGTGATTACTGACAGTGATTAAATGCTAGTGAATGCACTTGGCTAATTGATTAGGGTTATTTGCATTCCTTGTTGACAGATTATGCTGCATCGAAATACCCAGTCTCTGTTGAAGTGTCTGATCCAAGTACGGTTGATTCAAAGAGGTCTGAAGATCACTTTAAGGGGTTGATAGTGATTAGCAATGGGATTCAGGATACCTACTTCATCCTATTTGTCACTCATCATCTGGATGCATCTGCATTCTTATTGATTGATGGTGTTCCCATTGTTTTAAACGAGTGACGTTCAAAAGTTATGACGTCATAAAATGTTTAGGAATTTATTTATTTCATAGCATGTCAAAGTAGCAGTAGTGGCTGGATTTGATTCTTTTGAATGCATAATTGTGGCCGTTTTAACTAAATCGTTATAGCTTCTCCTGTTTGGAGTATTCTGTGTCTAGTAGTCTTAGGAGGTTTACTCCATACACGACAGAAAAGCCACCTAGGTATGCTGATGTCAAACTGTTAGTGGCTTTTATTACATCTTGGTTTAGCCAGAGTAATAAGTGTTTTAGAGCACAAAAAGTAAGTTTCTAGAGCAAAGACCTGTGTAACTAGTCCAAAAAAAGCAACTGAATTAATAGACACGGATAGAGGCGTCTATTCTAGACAGTTCATCTTTGAGATACGTTATCATATTCGAAGGTGTGAAAACAAAAATCAACTGGATTTCACCAGCATCATAAGTTCTCTGAATTGATTTTCTCTGCTTCTCAACCAGGTGTATCACTAGGTATGTCACCTGTAATCACATATAGAGTCGCTTGCTTCCTACTGTAAGTTCGACGATGGACGGACGGAAAGAATAATAATGATATAGTTTGTTATGGAGAAAGGAAACATACCACTACCTTTGCGCAATCTTTTATATTTCAAAGGTCTATGCTGTACACTAACCAATAAATAATCCAGATGTAAGCTAAATACTTTTTCCCCAGATAGTGATAAATATTCAAGTCAGGACAATAGTTTCTCAGTAAATGTTGAATGTACACAAACATACACATACACACACTCATATATATAAGATGCAAACATTCTAGAATTCTCCATCATCATCAAAGAGATTACCTAATTAAGTTAATCTGAGAATAAATTGCCAGCAATTTCTTTTTTGAGTTAAATAATAAGAATAATAAATCGACTGATTATTATTATTTATTATGAGTCCTTCATTTGTAGTCGTTGAATTATGAAGACACATATATAATAAGCCTATTTTGTTGAATTTCTTGACGTGAAAAAAAAATCCCCCTTTTCACATGAATGATGAGTATTGAAAAAAAATGCTTTTGAAAGGAAAATATATATATTATTTATTCATTTCTTTTCTTAATTGTTTTTTTTTTCAAAAAAAAGAAAAAGGGAAAATTTCTCCCTCTCTCCTCATTGTAAAACTGTCATGATGATCATAATTGGCAGAGAAAAGGAAATAATATTTCCCCGTTAGTTGAAGTTAAATGTGACGATGACGGTTATCAGGTCATGGGAAAATATTGTCTTTTCTAAGTGTCCTCGAATGTATATATATACGTTTATATATCTATCAATTATTTCAGAGTACGTGAAGTCAAATCACTCAGGATTAATGAATGTTTGCCAAACGAGTTAGAGTCATGAATAAATGAAATTTATCAACATAATATATTTAAGACATTTAAACACTTTTAGTTAGATTTCATCACGAACTGACATTATTATGTAGAGAACTGGTTGGGGAAAAAAAAGAGAAAAACAGTAAGTCACGAATAGCTAGCTAGCCAGCTCTGTTTCGTCCACTTGAAGAGTCTCAAATAGACTAAGACGAAATATCAGTGTACACTGTACTCCCTTTGATATTCAATGCTTCTCTCTCTAAGCTAGCATCGGTTCGTTCATAAAAGCCAGAATGGAGAATAAATTGCATTGTTAGATTTTTTGTCACGAATCAACATCAGTTGGAGATATCATTGAAAGCCAGAGAGTACAGGACAGCTGATTCATTCTAGTTTGGTACTCTTCCACAGTACGCCTCCACAAATCCACTGGAGATTGAATCTGGGATCTTGAGGTTACGACCATTCAGCCACTTATGCTGGAGTAAGTTGTAACTTTATGGATTTTTGATACAGAGCCACCCTCACCAGTGTCTTCGATGTGCATCCACTTCAAAGTTAAAATCTACAGATCACTGAATCCCAGCTCAAGTGGCTGAATAGTCAACGAGTTTGGTCTCGTAACCTGAAGATCTATGGTTCACTCCTTTGTGGTGTTATGCATGGGTACTCCTGAACAGTTTCAAAATAGCACGTAACAGCCGTCCAGGGTCCCGTGGTTTTCAGTGATCTGTCTAACTGATATTGGATCATGACGAAAGTCTCACAGTTGGATTCTTTATAAAGCAAAACTTGCAAAAAGGCTTTTTTTTAATGAATCGGAATAGTGTATGAAAAAGACAAGAGTGCAATGATTAGTAAATTCAAGTTGAAAAAAAGATTTTTGAAAATTTCTACAAAGAAAAAGACAGACAATTCATGGGACTATAGGATGATATGTACTTGTCGTTAAATGGAATGATAAAATTTTATGTATTAATAGTGAGTCTATCTGAGATGGTGTACTGAGTTGGCAGACTGTTGTTATCGATGTAATGTGTAATTTTTGAAGTGAAATGAAATGAAAATGTGCCTTAGAGGTGGATTCAAACCAGAAGCTTTGCCTGGTGCTCTACCACCTATAAGATGCAACCGCTTAACACGTTATCCTTCGAACAGCTGCTTTCTTTATAATTCAGTATTGATTAGGACTGATAGGAGAAGACCAGCTAACTGGGCAGATAGTGTAAGGTATCACTCATTCACACTACCACTGGTGATTGTAGTAAAAGTGATGACCTGGATCTCGTAGCTCTTCTGGCAGAGCACCAGAGTGATTAGTAATTTGAAAGTCGCTGTTTTGAGTCACACCTTGATATGAATTCTCATTTCACCTTCACTTATAACACTAAGACATTATCAAAAGAGATATGAAGATTAGCCAGCTCATAAATCCTGCGTTCAAAACCAAAGTCTATGCAAACAAAAGCTAAATTTGACTTGGTTACTACATTCATAAAAGTGATGATTGACTATAGTTAGATAACAGTCACGACATAGATGATAAGCTTACCATATTTTACCAAACAGATATCACCAACGACAATATCACCGACTAATACTTCTATCATTTCACCATCTCGTAAAACAGACATTTTATGATCTGATTCAATTTTATCCTGAAGGCCACGAAATTGTCTTTCTTTCTGCCAGTCATTGGTTGCAGTCACCAAAACGACTACAACAACAGCACAGAGTATTGCAACACCTTCTATCCAGCTGACTTCACCTTCAGTTTCATCGCTGGTGTGATCTTCACCACCAAAATCTGAAATGCAGAAAAGATAAAACATGGTATTTATGGTATTTAATAGACACCTTTACTATATATGTATATTTTTTCTAAAGCTTCAAAACAATTATCCACTTTAAGACTAATGAATTTTAGTCGGTAATCATGTGGAAATCTTTTTTAGTGCACAACAGTTAGCTAAGCATATAAGAATTAGCTTACGTAAACAATATAATATCTCGCCTAATTTGTATTCAGCCAGCTTACAGATGTGTAAATGAGGTTTATTAAGTAAGCAAGTAGACCGTGATGAAAAAATTTATGAAAAAGGCGAAGTTGTATGACTACGGTTTAGTTGATGTTAGCCTGAAGTTCAAAAATGTTTTCTTTTCACAAACATTATGATTAATATGGCGGCTGCTTTTTCCCAAGTTAGCGTTAAATTAACCATCAGCTCTATATGGTATATCCCCTCATCCGGTAAAAACAAAAACCACATTTTGACCTACATTTAAAGATGTGTTTTTTGGCCTACGGTGACTAGCAGTGCAATTCAAGATGCATATTTCATTCTATTGTTGGCACTCGTCTGACCCAGATTTATATGTTTCTCCAGAGTAAGAGATTGTGTTCGCAAACTTCAAAGCGTTATCAATAAAGAATGCAAATTAATCCAAAAAGAAAATGGTAATTGCCATTCCTTTCAAAACAGGCGGCTATCGTCATTCAGTGTGGCCTAGTGGGTAACGATTCGGCAGTTGAGACGTGATGGGTGCAGGATTCGAGTCTCAATGGTGACAGAGTCAATCAGTGGGAATGCACATACATCCAGCTGATAAATGCCGACAGTAAGATGTAATGCGCATCCTGGTTGCCATTGTCAGTCACCATAAACCAAAATAAAACATCATGCTGATCTTCAGACATGTGCAGAATGTCTGTACTAGTAGGTAACATGTTAACAGAAACCGAGTATTTCAGTCCAACAAAATCAATCAACGGAACATTCGAGATTAACCCATTTCAATATATATATGTATAGTTAAGTCGGTATTCACACTAGTTGGTTTGCAAGGATTAGACTTGTTTTTACGAGTTGATCGAGGATTGATATCGGTTAGAGAACCATTGAAAACTAACAGGGAGTACTGCCAGACAGCTTTTTCATCCTAGTTTGGGAATCATCGGCAGTAAGCACCCACCAAAGGCGTTCGAAACCAGTAGAATTAGTAGAAGTTAGAATTCATGAGTTGGCCATTGAATCGGGTCCTAGTGAGTGAATGGTATATGAGGTTGCCTTGTAACCGGAACGTCCTAGGTTCAAATTCTAATCGCTGGGTGCGTACTGCCGATGATTCCCAAGCTAGGATGAAACAGCTGTCTGATAGTACTCCCTGTTGGTTTTCAATGGTTCTTTAACTGATATCAATCCGTGATCAGCTTGTAAAAACAAATCAGTTTTTCTCTAAAATCTAATATGCATTTCAATATATACCTATACTTATATGGGTAGCTTTTGTTTCAGTCAGTTCATGAGTGCGCACATCTCAACGGTTCTGAGAACAGATCAAAGTTAAGCATCATTCTGATAAATAATTTATCACTAATAAATAATCATACAGTAGAATCAATTAATTATGCGTCATACTAGCCTATACATTCATTTTTTATATTCTGTTTAACCTCTTTTTCGACATATTCCTTTGCTAAATAATGCATGTTATGTAAGGATTTTCCTATCACTTACTAATAATTAGTTATGTTCACACCATTTCTAGTGTAACTATTATAATTACTAAGAGAATATGGACAATAAATGTCTCAATAATGCATAAACTATGGCCATTCTTACTGTCTAACATCCTGTCTCCAGTAATTTAAGGTATGTTAAAATTTAAAAGATTGATTAATGAACAAAGAATATTCTTCTCGATAAATTCATCATCAGGTTCCACATTCTTACGACAATAATAATCAAAGAAATATTGTTATTAACAACGTCAATGTTTGGAATTGAATTGAATCAATTATAATATTGGTAAATCACATTTCAAACACATCAGAAAGATAGAGAGATAATATAAATCAATATAACACTAAGCTGAGTGTGAAATAAATTAAGGGAAGTAATACGGAATTTGTGAATTGAAAGGCTCGGCAGCAGGCCAGGGTAGTGACGGTGGCTGGACCTGCTTCTTCTGCGCACACAGCTCCGGTTGTTTCAGGCGGTAATTGTTACAATGGCTTGTTGTCGAGCCTATAAATTCATAAATTCTGTATTACCCCCCTTAATTTATTTGACGCTCAGTTTATTATTATGTTATTTTTCCCTGGGGTTCCAAGTGGAACATAGGGCTTCAACAACACATCCCCACTTTGTTCTAGTTTCTGCTGTCGTCTTCAGCTGGGTCCACGGTTGTCCATAATCTCTCATCTCCTCCTCATCACATGATCGGCTCCATGTCACCCTCGCACTGACGACCCACTCGTTGCTTCCCATTTGGATTCCACTCGAGTCATGGTAAGGAGCGTGATGTCATTCGATGGTTTCCTTAGTGTATACCCGATCCATCTCCACCTTCAGTTGAGTGCCGTATAAATGCATATAATCTCTCATTGATGTTTTTGAAATGTTATCTGTCAGTACTCATGATTTAATGTAATTTAAATGATTTTGTTTAACCGAAATCCTCGGTCTGGGTTGAAATACCAGCTCGTAGCACAGGCGTACCAACACTGTCTATATTAGGAGTCTACTTGTCAATCGGTAGATTTCATCTTTTTCTACTTAACTAACTAATCTAATGCTTGTATAAATAATACGATGAATAATGTGAGTGTAACTTTAAATATTACCGCCATATTTTTCCACATTGATACATTGAACATTAAATATTTTTTTAAATTGTTACAATTTTAATCTTCCATTATAGATATTTTAGGCAGGTTTATAAATTTGTGGGCGCGCAATGCAACAGAATTAAGACCACGTATGATATCACTGTTCAATGAATGTCGATGCATTTAAAAATAGTAGATTTGAGAGGGAAGTTAGTTTAATCACCTTTATATTGAAACCTTTACATTTTGTCAGTTTCTCTTCAAATTTAATGTGAAATAGAACTACAAAGACTTTAATAGATAGATAATCTATATGACTATCTAAATTGTTTTAAATATACATATATCTTAGATATCAATTTAAAGTGGAGTGAAACAATCTTTTTTGCACACTATACTTTTCCGTATAGTAAAACTGATCAGGAAGAACCAGTATTTAAATCATTGAATGAATAACTAGAATTCGGATTTTCCATATTGTCTAGGCTCTCTAAGCTGAGTCAGGCCGAGCACACTGCTGATGACCTCGGTCATAATTCAGCAAAAAACAACCGCCTAATTTTAAATCACTCCAGTCTTGCTGTCAATCAACTCTGGTTGAGGTGAATGCTTTCCAACTTTTCAATTGTCCACATGAATTGAAAACATTATTCCTATTATTAAACTATTAATTTTCTTCAGCTAAACTATTATATTAAACAATTAGAACTAATTTCGGTCAATTTCATTTCGCATAATTAGAAACGAGGCAATATTTTCCCAGATAATGACTTCAGTCAGTCTTAATTAAATATTAGAACTTAAATTATTCTTTTGAGGTTGAGTTATATGCAGTGATGACAGGGAGGTGAAAACAAGGTTAGAAAAAAAAACTATTCAATACTTCTCAGCTACTTATATTCGTTTTGAAAGACAAAAAAAGAAGACTCATAAGGTCAGTGGTTTACTGTCAGATTTCTATAACATGACTTAACTCGGCTGTGAAATAAACGAAGTCAATACTACACCAGTCCACTCGCATAAAGGATAAACAGTACATCTTTATCGTTAATCCTTTCATGCAAAATATATCTCTTTGAGATTATCTTTTAAAAATTGGGACAATTATTATGAACAATGCGTAGAAATATATGTATATGTAGTCAACTTTCAAATATGGAAATACACAAGAAGTAATTGAAAGAAGAACGAGAGGACTCAGTCAGTCTATGGCTAAGCGACCCAACTGATAGCCGCTACCTTCACGTAGTGGTCCAGCTTGCATATCGCAGTGACCCAACAACCTACACTGACTGGAATTAATGTTTTCGCAGACCCTGTCTTGCCAGGAAGGTCGTCTAGATTGCGGTTAGAATAAAAACAGTTGCAGGTCTGTGGGCAAAATCATATTACTGACAAATAGGCATGTAACAACAGTAAAGTGTTTCCCTCAGATGACCAGAATCTTATTTGTGCTGCTTCTTCACTCTGAAAACGCAGGGGGGGGGAGGTTAGACAACATTGGCCCCAAAAATCGCACATCCCGACTAATATTACAGCGGAGTAAGATCTTAATACGAGCACAGATCCAAAACCTACTTCAAACAGACTATAAGCGACTGACGTCGAACGTTTTCCCCTTGACTTTGACGTCATGCTGCTCTAAAACTACTTCTGTTTCAGGTTCCCAAGATGAAATCAACTTCCGCAGTGTGGGCAACCGGGGAGAAATAACCACATACGCACACACACTTTCATAAGTACACAGTGATTTTCATGACCATCATTCACCTTCACTAATAAGCGACAGTATGATTTCATTGGACAGTGGTTATCTACTGTAAAGTGGATTGAACATTGTGGAGAAAATAATCTTTAGTCGAAGTTATTTAGACTAGGCTAGTCCACAAATAATTAATCTAAAGAGAAAATCAGTTTATTAAATAAACGAAACACTTTGTAATACATTAACCATATGGTTTCAGTCATAAGAACTTATTAATTTATAGTGAATTATATCGACAGATAGACATCTAGGCACCCAGGGTTATGAAAGACGCATCATCTTCTTGTTAGCCATCCTGGGGTGCTTGTTATTATGCTGTGAATTACAAACTAAACACAGAAGGATTTCCCAGAGGCTATTTTACACATCGAATACAATTATTAATATTCAAGTATTGGTTTGTAGGGATTTGGTTGATTGGTTACAGGAT